CAAGAAGTGCAATGACTGAAGCATATAAGAAAGTATGCAGAAATCACTACAAAGCAATAACCATTCTTCTAAGTGTTATCTAATATAATGAATATGAAAAAAAATCATAGATAGAGAAACAAAGGCTTTGGCCTTAATTCAAAAGTATGAAGCCTTCAGGATGGAAGACGGTGAATCTGTGGAAACAATGTTTTCAAGATTTCAGACTCTTATGGAAGGACTTAAGGTTCTGAACAAAGGTTACTCCACCGCAGACCACATTAAAAAGATTATCAGAAGTTTGCATGTTAAATGGAGACCAATGGTAACAATCTTAAAATTGGAAAAGGATTTGAACAACACCTCTCTTGAGGAGCTGATTAGCTCTTTAAAAAGGTAAAATCAGTTACTCTAAAGTCTACTTCTGAGAAAACCAAGGCTTACCAAGCTAAGGAAGAATCAGAAGAATCTGAAGAAGATTCAGATGATGATGAACTCTCCTTAATATTTAGAAGAATAAGTCAAATCTAGAAGCACAAACAAAGCAAGTTAAGAGGTCAAAGAAGGACATATGGAAGAGGTGAATCCACTTTTGGTAAGAGAAATGCTTCTTGAAAAGAAGTCACTTGTTTTGAATGCAACGAATATGGACATTACAAAAATGATTGTCCAAAGCTTAAGAAAGACAAAAAGCCTAAAAAGTCTTATAAATCCAAGAAGGGTCTCATGGAAATATGGGATGATTCAGAATCAGAAGATGAAGATTCTGATGAAGAACAGGCAAACATGGCATTCATAGCCAGGACCAACAAGGGAGAAACAACATCAGAAGATGAACTGGCAATAAATTATGAGTCAGACTTTGATGACGACAAAGAGGTACTTTCTTCTTTATCTCGTTCTGAACTTGAAATTGGTTTGATTGAATTAATGAAAAGGTATCAATCTCATCTAAGTAAACACAAAATCTTGAAAAAGAGTGTTGTGGCTACTTTAGAGAACACGACTATAGATGAGCAAAGTATTTCTGTTTTAAATGAAAAACTATTTGTTTTACAAAAATCAAACATTGCTCTGAAAAGTAAAGTGTCTAGATTAAAAGAAGAGATTCTCTCTAACACATTTGTTACTGACGAAGTAATCGTATATGATAGAGTTTTTTAACACTTTCTTGCTAAAAGCATAGATAGAAGTAAAATAGCTTCAATGATCTATGGTGTTAGTAGAAATGGAAGCAGATGCTTGGGGTATTCAAGACCATCAAAGAAATTTGATGAGACTCTGAATGTCAAACCAAAACCTCTTTCTGAACATTTCGTACCTGCTGGCACAGATTTGAAATGTCTAGAACAAGAAGGTTCTGATACTTATGTAGCAAGAACACATACACAAAAGAAATTTTTTAAACCAAAGTATCATGCACAAATTTCACATGATTATTCTGTTGCACGAAAATCGAAAAGGGTCAGAACCTCTATAACTTCTAACAAAAGAGGACCCCATAAAATGGATACATAAGGATCAGATAATCTACATTGCAGATCTCCTTAATGGCGCCACTGAAACACCAGTCATGGTACCTGGACAGTGGATACTCGCGACATATGACAGGCGAAAGGCATATGTTCAAAGATTTGGAACTTAAATCTAAAAACATGACCAGTGTTAGAAGCAACCAGAAAAGAAAAATTATTGACTCAGAAAGTTGTATAATCCAAGATGCTATTGTCAGAACAAGACCAAACCTTAAATCTTCTGAAGAAACACTTCTGAGCTTCAATGATTTTGCTTATGCTAGCTCATCTTCTGAATAAAGTCTGGATTCTGAAGATTATCTATCAGACTTCTATGAGTAATGTTTTTACCTTCTTTAAATCCTATTACTGCTAATTCTTTCAGAATATCAGTAATCATAAGATGTTTCGGTCAGAAATATCTTTGATTAGATGGAATTTTTTTGGTTTTTACAGAACTCTGAGGATATTAAACGTGTCACTTAGTTAGATGTATTAATTAACATGTGTAACCCTTGGTTATGCTTAATCCTCACACGCTACCTAAGCTGTGCAATGAGCAGTGTGCGTATTTCTTGGAATTTGATTGATATCATAATCATTACTTTCATTTAATGCTCATAATTATTATGTATAATTAAAATTCAGTTTTATTTTATATTCTCTCATTTATCAAATACTATAAATCACACACGTTCACTTCACTTCCATACTTTAGAAACCCTAAACTCTCTTTTTCTCTCAACTGTTCAACAAGCTCTTTATGCTCATCATCTTCATCAAAGCTCTTCACTAAAAATAACCACCCTCTTCAACATGATGAATGCTCAATAGCAAGAAGGTGTTCAGTTTGCCCAAGAAATGGAACGAGCCCTAAATCCTTCTGGGTCGTCTTCTTCAACTATTCCAACTAATTCTTCTTCCCTTATGGTAACTGATTCATCTTCTCTATTAATTATTGATAAACACCACATAACACAGAAATTTATTCAAATTCGCTGTAATCTAAAACCACATGAGTTAAATGTTCTTCGTGAATATATGGTGGACTTCAATAACCTTTCTGTAAATGGTGCAAACCTAATTGACGACTCGAATGCTCAAGGACGAGAATACTATTTCATGCGTCTTTATGGTCCTGTTTACGATTCTTTGGTTAAGGTTTTTTGGATTCAAGCGGATTGTGACAATCTTCATGTAGTTGCTCATGTGTTAGTAGGGATGTCAATGGGGCGGGGCGGGGCCGGGGGGACACTTCCCCATCTTTTTCCCCGCCATCAAATTCATTCCCCGTCCCCGTCCCCGATCTCCGTCACGGGGGAATTTCTATCCCCATCCCCGTTCCCCGCGGATCCCCGTTCCCCGCGGGGATCCCCATAGATCCTACATTTATTCTTTAATATTTTATTTTTTAAAATGTTTATATTTTCTATAAAAATAAAAAGCACAAAGAATTCACATATTTATTATGTTATTAAAAAATACTAGTATTTGACATTTATTATTTTTTATTAAAAATACTAATGGAACACAAAATAATAATATTTTTTTTATAAATTTCTATAAAATGCTATAAAATTCAACAAAATGAACTATAATACTTTTTAAAGTAACAATATGCCTAAACAACTAAAAAAATCCAAAAACATAATTATGAAAATCAAACCTTATTGATGAAATTGTAAGAGCTGTGAATAATGGAAGCACACCAAATAGAGAAGATGGAATTGGAAGAGGAAGATGAATGGAGATTTGACTGGAGAAGAAAAAAAGGAGTCTAACGTGTGAGACTCTAAATGTCTGGCAGAAGAAAATGAAACGCTTCAACTTTTTTAGGGTCTAATATTTACATTTCTCTCTCTTAATAAATACATGAATATTTATTTATTTATTTTTATAAATAAACATAAAGGAAATGACTAAAAAACCTAATCTAAAATATATATATTAAATTAACTATATTAAAATAATAGGCGGGGCGGGGTCCCCGCGGGGCGGGGGGTGTATTCCCCGTCCCCGTCCCCGTCCCCAAAATGCTCTCGGGGGAATTTTTCTCCCCATCCCCGCCCCCACGGGGGAAAATTCCCCATCTTTGGGGCCCCGAACGGGGCGTTCCCCGCGGGGATCCCCATTAACAGGTCCAAACTGACATCCCTATGTGTTAGGTTTGAAAATTGTCATTACTAAAAAGTCTATTGTTGATCTTCTGGGCATACGATATCTTGAAGGAAAACGAATTTATAAGATGAATAGCAAATCCACATTTTTAAACACATAGCACTTTGTTTAACTTCGTTTAAGCTTAACGATCCCTAAGTGTTAAACACTCAGAGTGACTCATTTTTCTTCTTCGGGCTCGATGCCCACATTCCTAAGCACTTCTCATACTTACCAACCCCTTTATTCTTTTTTTGAGGAGTGGTAAGTACTTCTCAACCTCATTTTTATTTATTCTATCTTCTTCCTCCTTTCTAATCCTCTTGTCTTTTCCAACTTGCATATCCTTCTCCCCTGAATCATCTTTTTCTCCCGACTCAGGTAATTTTTGTTTCTCACTAGGTTTGACTACCTCGATTAAATGCCACAAATTTTTTGTAGGAAAATATTTTTTATTTAAATATATTTACAAATAAATTTTATTCTCTTAAAAAAATATTATTATTATTATTATTATTATTATTATTATTATGAAATAATAACTTTTTATATTAGGAAAATATTTTTTAATTTAAATATATTTACAAATAAAGTTTAATATAGTAAAAATGACTTTGAGTTTGAGTTGTTGGGTCCTCACAAAATTTCTAAATTTAAATTTGTTTTTAGGTGTTATTTAAGTTATGCCATATTCCTTATATTGATTTAAAATCCTCTCTCTCAAATTTTATTAACAAATATATTTGATTTGAGTAACTTTTAAATATTTATATAATTATGATTTGGTCAAATAATATTTGTTGAGACATCATGTTGAAAAATATTATTGCCAATCATATCCACATGCGATTTGGGCAAATCAATTACATTTTTATTTTATTTTGATTTCTTAATTTTTAATTTTTATCCACTCAGTATATTTTATATTTTTTCTGTAAATATTTTCTTCAAAATTAGGTGAACAGTATAATTTAGTATTCCGTTATTTTTTTATTTTATTATATTTAAAAAAAAATGAAATTTTAAAATAATTTATACAAAATATTCGTATCCAATTTTAATTATTAGAATTTTATTATTATTGATAAAATTTTCAACATATCCCGTGATAAAATCTTATTTTATAACTGGAAAAGAAATCAAATCTTCCAAAAGAAAATATATGAATAAACGAATCTGGTTTATATTTAAAAAATATTTGTGAGCGCTCGAGTTTTAGAAACAACAACTATATATATGGTTTCAGATCAGTGTTTTGCTTTTGAAGAAACCTTATAACTTTTTTCTTGTCGCAAGAAACCCTATAAACTTTTCTTCTCACGCAAGAAACCCTACTATTGTATTTTTAATATGAAGAGGAAACAGGAAGCACATTCTGCTGTGGGAATAGACCTTGGCACAACGTATTCATGTGTTGCAGTATGGCAGGAAGAACACTCTCGAGTTGAAATCATTCACAATGATCAAGGTAATAGAACAACACCTTCTTTTGTTGCTTTCACCGAAAATCAGAGATTGATCGGTGATGCTGCCAAGAATCAAGCTTCTGCCAACCCTCAAAACACCGTCTTTGGTAATTTCTACTCTTTTTCTCTTTTAAAATCTTGAAATCCTAATTACAAATTATTTTAACAAGTTTATAAATCTATTTAGAATTTTCCTATTAGTTTTTTAGGTCGATCAATTAAACTTTATTTGTATCTTTATTTTTTTCAGATGTCAAGAGGTTAATTGGTAGGAAGTTTAGTGATCCTACTGTTCAAGATGATATACTTTTATGGCCATTCAAAGTCGTTTCTGGTGTTGACGACAGACCCATGATTATAGTTAAGTACAAAGATCAAGAGAAGCAACTCTATGCCGAAGAAGTATCATCCATGGTACTCACCAAGATGCGAGAAATTGCTGAAAAATATTTAGAATCACCAGTTAAGAATGCAGTTGTTACTGTACCAGCTTATTTTAATGATGCTCAAAGAAAAGCAACTATAGATGCGGGTGTTATTGCTGGCCTCAATGTGATGAGAGTAATGAACGAACCCACTGCCGCAGCGATTGCATATGGCCTTGACAAGAGAACTGGTTGTGTTGGAGAACGGAATATTTTAGTGTTTGATCTTGGGGGTGGCACTTTTGATGTTTCTATACTAAGTATTAAGGACAGCGTCTTCCAAGTTAAGGCCACAGCCGGAAATACTCATCTCGGGGGAGAGGACTTTGATAATAGAATGGTGAACTACTTTGTACAAGAGTTCAAGAGAAAGAACAAAGTTGACATTAGTGGGAATTCAGGAGCTTTGACGAGGCTGAGAAAGAACAAAGGCGAGATTAGTGGGAAGTACTCAAAAGCTTTGAGGAGGTTGAGAACTGTTTGTGAGAGGGCAAAAAGGTCCCTTTCTTTCCTCCTTACCGCCACTATTGAAATAGATTCTTTATTTCAAGGCATTGACTTTTCTTCATCAATCAATAGAGCCAAATTTGAGGAAATGAATATGGACCTTTTTAATGAGTGTATGAAGATTGTTGAAAGTTGTCTAATGGATGCTAAGATGGACAAGAGCATGATAGATGATGTTGTCCTTGTTGGTGGATCTTCTAGGATTCCTAAAGTACAGCAGCTATTACAGGACTTTTTCAACGGGAAGGAGTTGTGCATGAGCATCAATCCTGATGAGGCAGTCGCTTATGGGGCAGCTGTTCAGGCTGCATTGTTGAGCCAAGACGTTAAGAACGTTCCAAAGTTGGTGCTTCAGGATGTTACACCTTTGTCTCTTGGCATATCAATAGTTGGAGATATCATGAGTGTGGTGATTCCAAGGAACACTCGCATTCCTGTCAAAAATACACAACAATATTTTACCGTTGAAGATAACCAATCATATTCCTTGATTAAGATTTATGAGGGTGAGAGAACAAGAGCTAGCGACAACAGTTGGCTTGGTTCTTTTACTCTTTCTGGTCACACCCCAGCTCCTCGTGGTCACACTTACGATGTTTGTTTTTCTATAGATGAAAATGGTATTTTGACAGTTTCTGCTACGGAAAGTTCCACCGGCAAAACGAGTAAAATTACAATAACCAATCACAGAGATAGATTGTCAAGTGAGGAAATTAAAAAATTAATTCAAGAAGCTGAGGATTACCAACTTGAAGACAAGAAATTCCTAAGGAATGCCAAAGCGCTGAATGATTTGGATGACTACATTTACAAAATGAGAAATGCTTTAAAGAAAAAGGATATTAATCTAAAGCTCTCCTCTCAAGAAATTGAGACTATCAAATCTACAGTTGCTGTGATTACAAAGTTGGTTGATGAGAATAACCAAGAGGTGGAAATAGATGTTATGGAGGACCATCTAAATGGACTTAAGATTACCATGGAAGACATTTTACCAAAGACTATTTAGTTTTTATTTTATTTTTTCACAACTAAGATTTTTAGGTTTTATAATATTTTGGTACAGACATGTTGTTTAAACCATGCCAACAGCAGTGTGCTTGTTTCCATTATGATTAACTTAGATTTTACTTTGTTATTAGTTTACAAGTTTCTTTGAGTCTTCAAAAAAATTTAAACCAGTTGCATTATCAGTTTGTGAATTTCCTTTGCTTGAGTAGAGAATATCAAAGTTTATTGTTTGTTTCATGCTCAAAATGATATTTAAATTTGGCCCGATGCTTAACTTATTTGAAATGTTGAAACTTGAAAGTCTAGTAGTGAGAATGCAAAGAAGCCTAAAGATGTAACGATACTTGACAAGGTCCACCCACACAAACAGTAGAAGTTGATTTTTCATTACATCAGTTACACTTTCAATACATGTATCATATTAAAATTAATAGAATCAAATACGAGTGAGAATGAAACTTCATTTAAATGGTCCACACATAACGCAAGATTCCAACATATCAAGATTGTACAAAATACTTCAACATCAAAACTGCAGTTCCCCCCTAACGAACACAGCAAGAGTAATGTAGCATAAAAAGGACCTGCACCAGGAATATATGATTGGCACTTGTGAGCAAAAGAAACTGCTACATGATTGCACCAACAAGCAAGGAAAAACCGCAGCTAAAGACACGAAAATGTTGCAACAGAAGTGAGATTCCTACTTAAAGCAACGCATTCCAAACTTGTTTTAACTCGTGCCACCTATTGATAAACTAGATGAACAAATATGAATTCTATTTCACTTTGCATTACCATAGAGAAAATCTTATTCAGATTTGGTAATGGATTCATGAGTAGAACCTGAGAACAAACCAGATCAAATGAGGCATTTAAACCAGTGAGAAAACGAATTGATCGTGTAATCTCATGTTGATATTTTTCATTACTCAGTCCTGTGATGCAAACACACAAATGTGGACAAGAATAAGTAGGAGTAGGAAGATATGATTCAAGTTCTTCCCAAAAAACCTTCAAAGCTATGAAGAATTCTGAAACTGAATGAGAATCTTGCTTCAAACCAAAGATCAACTCAGAGATCCGAATATAATCACTTTGTGAGAAATGTTATTTGAGCTCGTTCCGCACATCAATGACATTCTCAAGAAAAATGATGCTATGTGCAACTGAATCCTCAATTGAATTCATGATCCACGAATGAACTAGCACGTTACAACGATTCCAAGCCTTGAAACTTTGATCAAGTTCCACCGGAATGGAAAATGAGCCATCAACGAAATCAAATTTGTTTTTTCCGCCAATAGCCCGTCTCATGGATCGAGCCCATGCATGATAGTTGGAATGATCTAGAACTGGTGAAACTTAAACGGAAGAAGGACCATCCGATACATTAACAGGTTGTTGAGAAGAATCTTGAATCGGAGCAGCAATATTTCCTTCACCATTAATGGCAGCAGCATCACCACGAATCATTGTGGAAGAAGAAGAAAAAGAAGCGATGGCAGCAAAGTTCAAAAGAGCTCTGATACCATCATGAAGTTTTCAGTCATCATGATGAAAACTAGAAGAGAGTGTGAATTCAATGAAGAAGATATAAGCAAAATGCAATAGTTCATTGATGGATAGCAAGTTACTTACAAGGTGTCTATTTATAGAAGTTAGAAACCTAACCAACTCTAACAATCTTACAATCAATGATAACTAGCTTTGAATGAGTTATACTTCTCTACATTTGATGCATGGTGGTAATGATGCAACTCAAGGTGGATTAAGCTAAATATCTATTTAACTTGCTGTCCAATGTATCTTACTAAGTACTTTAACAGCTAGTTGATCTCTTACTATTATTGGATCAACTTCGGTAAAAATTGTTCTTATTATAGTTGGTGGATCTCTCCCATATAAAGCTTTGAATGAAGTCATACCCAAAATCATGAGATATGTAGTACTATACCAAAACTCAACCCTAGGAAAAATATTGAACCAAGACTTAGGATTATCAAAAGTTAAACATCTGAGATAGATTTACAGACATTTATTCAAGCTTTCTTATTGTCCATCAGATGGAGGATGATATGCAAATTGATATGTAGTACTATACCAATTTCTTTGAAAAATAAGCAATAGGGCACCCTTTTTGTCTCAGTACATCTCCTACACCAAATTCCTGATGCATTAGTCTCCGAGATAAAAAGTTGGGAAAAATCAAGTAAAGCTAGATCTGGTGCAATAGTCATAACTTGTTTGAGCTTCTAGAATGATTCTTCTGCTTCATTACTCCGCTTGAATTGAAAAACACTATTCAATAGACTTAGTGTTATTCAATATTCTGAGATGGTGTAACTGAGCCTGTGTGGCTGACTTGGCTCATTCTCCTTGTAGGGTGAGGAACTTTCCTTGGTGGAAAATGGAGTGTCAAAGCTGCATAATCTGCCATATGAGGTCCCAAATTTCTAACCATGTTGATCCTAGTATAATGTTTGCTCACGAGATTGGTAATAAGTACACAAGTACCATAATATCTTGTCCTTGCACATTTAGTGGCAGATTCTATATCTTGCCTTCTACATTCATCATTTGTCTGTTTCCCACTAGAACTCTAAGGTTATTAGCTAGTACAATAAAATTTGAATTTCGTATCTTAATATTACAATATATTAATGAAAGGCCCGCCAAATTTAGGCTTCATTACACTAACAAAGATACTATTGTTTGTAAGCAAAAATCTTGTATTTCTGTAGATTTTGACTAATTTCATGAACTGAAGCAACAGTAGCTGCCACTGAAACAAGTAAAAATAAGCAGTTCAAACATTGGAGCAAACACCACTTGAGTGACAATATTCGTATATGCTTTTGCGCAATGTGCATTTGTATAGGGAAGATCACGACCAAAGGTCCAAACCCAACTGCTCCAAGTAGAGAAAGAAATTGATTGAAAAATGGCATTGCCATGGCAAGAGTGGTAGCAAATATTACAAATATTGTCCTCCAAATTAGCCTAAACAAATTCAAATCAAACATTGCATTGCCCAAACTAATTGGATATTCCTTGTTTATGAAGCTTGATTTGGGCCATATAGTACTAGCACTCATTTCAATAAAACGAAAGAATGGTTGCCCCAACACTTGATATGCTCCAACCACATGGATTACGACGAATATGTCTCCAAGTGCAACCAACCAAAATGGCTCATAAAATGCAACAAAAATGTTTCCTGGTGTGTGGTCACCAAATGCAGCGTAGCCAAGACAACTACATAGTAGGAATATCATTGTCATTGCCGATACTCCTATCACATTAACCCTTTTCATTTGTTGATTTTCGGGTGGATGTGACTTTAACGTGTCCTAAACAAAAAATAATACGAAAGAATCAAATTCGTGTAAGAAATAAACAAGATATATTATTATTCTCTGTTGTTGAAGATTCTCCACATTCACGCATTCAGTATATTGACTGTCATTTGATCAAGATCACATAGAATACGTCAATGTGAGAGAATCTCAATGCAAAGAATCCAAATTCATAACTCAATATGAATAATGATATTTCTTTTACCATTATGTCGTAAATAACAGTAGCATAAGTGCAAGCAAGTGCGATGTTTCCCATTGAACTGCACATCCTCATCACTTTATCATCAACCGATAGTTCTGGTCCTACTTTGATCCCGGTAATGTTTGTTGGGGCCCATTTTCCTATTGTTATCCAAAATACTAACTTAATCAAACACAAAACAATGAACTCAAATCCTTTGCAACATTATCCAATCGGTACTATACATATATAATCAAAATACCTGAGATTATACGCGAAAGACAAAGAGCAATTGCAATGAACACATAACCAAACGAAGTGATAGCAGCAATCGTGGAAAGCCAAGTCAATTGATGAAAGTTAGGAATTTGAGACAAGAAAATCTGCAATATCCCAAAACCAACCATGTAGGGATTTAAAGAGCTACTACAATCAACCTCATGTCCTTTTCTATGAACACAAACAATCTTCTCTACGGCTGCCAAACTTATAGACGAAGTTATCGTATAACCAACAGTGATTCCAGCAAGTTTAGCATACAAAATCAACCCACAAACCATATGCATACTCCCACCTAAGTAAACCTTCACAGCTTGCATGTAAGTATAGTTTCTTTTTCCATTGATTGGATCTGGAAACCTATAGCAATCAGCCATAAGGCCGTAGGCAAAAACAGAAATGAATGAAAAGATGAACATACTTGTTATTCCAAGGATCCATCCTAGTTGAGCCATGGCCCATGATAGAGCTAACACTCCTGCTCCAATTACTACTGTTATTATGTGTGTTGTAGCTGTTGTTACATTTCCTGTTCTTTTGATTCTGCCATCATCGTCAAGTTCTAGTTCCATAAGATGAGAGTTTAATTCGTTACTACCCATCAATGTTTTTTTCGTATCTTTCTCTATTATCATACAATGATTGTTATCAATATAAGGAAATTTCCCTCAAAGAAAATGGTTCAAGAAATTGAGTGGTTAACATAATCATGAACTCGTTGTACCTAGTCATAAACTAAGACTAGATACATTAGCTGTACTACTCTATAATAATTAATTCTATACGGAGTATTAGTCAGATTTTCAAATAAATCATTTGACTTTTGAAAGAAAATAACATTATATTTTAAAGAAAAAAAAGATATACTTTAAATATTAATTCAGATTATATAATTTGTTTTATTTTTTTATTTACACGTGTATATGCTAAATTGATCAAAAACATTAATATGATATATATGGTAACTCTATGATTTTATTTATATAAAAAAATCTATTTTTTAATACATTAAATAATCAATATATCTATACAATATATAGGTCAAATATATTACATATTTAATAAATCTAAAAGCTTAATTTCTTCTTATAAATAGGATCTGAGACAGTAATACACATTCATTTTTAATATGCTTTCATTTTCATAATTATGTACTATCTCCGGTCTTATTTATAAATAAAAAAATTATCTTTTAAATATATTAAATAATTAATGTATTTAAATAATATATAGATCAGATACATTAGTTATTCAATAAATCTAAAAAGTATATTTTTTATAAATAATATTAGAGGAATTATCGTATTTATCATTTGTAAAAAAAATAAAAATGATATGATTAGCATTTATATTTGAGAAATACAATAATAGAAAAGAGCGTGCTTGAGCGTATGGTTGTAAAAGGTATTGTATGGTTTGTAAAATTAGTGAATGATTATTTAAATTTGAGGTTAGTGTATTTATTGATGGTTTCTTTGTTGAGTAATAGGGAGGGAAATAGTTTTCTTAAACTTCTCAACGAGTACGTGGGAGTAAGGGGAAGACTGATGTTTTCGCAAATAGTTTGACATAATATGAAAATCTCTTGCTTCGTATTTATGAGAATTTGTTTCTTGTTTCCATTAAAATTGAGTCCTTATCAATGAACTTCTCACATTTTCCTCTCTCTATGGTGTTTCTCACTCCACTCCCACTTTCTCTCTCATTTTTTATTTTATTTTTTCTTCTTGTTCTTTTTCAACTTCTCCCTCATCAATAACTTATAATTCGTCTTCAATCACTTTTTTTTTACTCCTAAGACTTTCTACTGTGTGTACTACTCCATTTCCCAACTTAATAATGTAAGCTTATCTAAAATACTCCCAACAAAACTTCTACCAATTATTTTGATAACTTGTCAATTTGAGTTTCAAAATTATTTATAGAAGCTTCATGGTTATTGTTGATGTTTTTTTATTAGACTTTATTGTTTCAAAATTTCTTTGAGTCATACTCATGAATTGATTCACCACAACTTTTAAAGGAGATGACTTTTACCACAACTTTTAAAGGAGATGACTTTTATATGGTATTGTAAGTGTTGGAGTAAAGATTTGATTTTTGAAAACTTCCAGTTAACTTATTCTACTTGTCCTTCTAGTACACAGTTTCCATTTACATGACCTTCACCATTGAAATCACATCTTAATGTCTGGACTTGACTAGCATTTGCTTGAGGAAGATTTGTGATAACTAATTGCTTCATTAAAGCTTCAAGTTGAGTTAATAGATCAATTTGAGTATCAAGCTTTATCATACCTTTCTTCTTTGAAGCTCAATCACTTTGTGTATGGTATTCATTTTTGACACTTACTCTCTATCAACTATTTCACTTTATCTTTATTTTTGTATCTCATAGTACCTCTAGTTGAGGCATGTTGACACACTTTATAGGACAAGTATTTATATTATCATTTTTCACAGAGATTTGTGTGATATTACTGTCGTTCTACAGTTAGAATTGTTTTAAGCTTAAGATTCATAAAAGGTCTTGGTGTTTGAAAATTTTGTTTGCATGAAAAGTATTAAATATCGGTAAGAGAGACTTGATTTTAAACGATTGGTAAAAATATGTCAAGATTAGGGCTCGATAATCTATTTCATACGTATTTTCTTAATAAAGCATGTGAACTTATTAATAATCGATATAATCACATATCCTCTCAATAAGTTTCATTTCTAAAATAAATTGTGAGTTTTATCATATTGATCCTTAGATGATCTCTCTACCTAACTATCAATATGCTAACTTTAAAAGTTTGATATAGGTGAATATTAACTCACAAAATTATATCTAGAAATTGTTTATTTATAGATAAAAACCTAGGTCAAGAGTTGAACATATTTCTCAATAATGATCAAATCACATATAAACCATAAAACAAGGATTTTTCACCATATATTCATCATCAACTTGTTCACATATAAAATATTAAGATAAATACAAACAACAGTGACAATTATCTACCTCTAATCTTGACACAAAGAGATATTTAGCTACACATAGTCATGATAGCTTGATCAACAAGTAAACAACAAAACTTTATGAACATCAAACTTGAAGTCTCAAAGATTGATGTTGGAAAGCTTTGATTTTGAGTAGATATGAAAAAAATGGTTTTTCTCTCTCACACACAAGTGTTTCTAGGTTACAAGAATGTAAAAAAATGTAAGATGATATACAAATATCTAAAAAGTGGCTTATAAGCATGGCATGTCCGCCTTGCTTCGCCCAATGCTACACATGCTTCGTCCGTCGAGACTCACTAAACAAGCCCACGTGAGAGAAACAATGCATGCAGACAGCTGAAAATATCTCGCCTCGTCGTGCGGGCCATTAACATCGTCGGGCGAGTCCTTCTCGCTCCCTCTTTGTCGGGCGCTCCAACAGGTAAGACCAAGATAGTAGCTACTGAGTTTTGCAATTTCTCTCACCTCTCTCCTCGCCTCACCTTCTTCGGGAGAGGCTTCCTTCACTTGCCTCCCTCTCGTCGGGCGATGCTTCCTTCACTCGCCTTCCTCTCGCCAGACGAGGCTTCCAAAACACTGACACTAAGCTTTCTTTGATTCTTCATCTCTGAGCCCACTTTAAGCCGCGACATCTGAACATAAAATGCTGGAAAACTAATAAACACATTAAATTTACCAACATTATATACATCGATGCAAGAATCACTTAAAATAAGTCATTTTTATAATCAAAAGCATATAAAAGAGCTTAAAAGTGTCAATATATGATATGGAAAATAACTTAAAATTGACACTTAACAACTCTCCTCAACTTGCATCTTTGTTTGTCTTCAAATCAAAGGAAAATTCTAAAGACAACAAGAAAAAACTCAAAAGCACAAAATCAATCGGAAGAAATTTGGATGGTTCAAACTTGACAATTGCGCACACAAGAAAACTCAATCACTTTGCAAGAATAATAATATGATAATGAATCAAGCTCTAAATACAAACAACGTATAATGCAGCTTTAGAAACATCATGTTCATATTTGAATCACCTAAATCACTTAATAAAACATGAACTATACATAATATTTACAAGGGACATAACACTCTCACTAGTAATTATGCTTACATCTAGAACAATTCATACGTTCATCTCAACAATCAACAAGGAAATCAAAGAAACAAAGATCACTAACCAACTTTTATAGGATGTCACTTGGCTTGGGTTAACAAGAAAGGGATATTTCTATAAGTTCATTGAATCAAAATGGTTAAAAATGATGAAGAAGATGTCACTTTTTACACACCTACCATCTTGCTTAATCCTTCTTCTTTTCAATCCTTTCATTATTTTCTCATGGTTCCCTCTTCAACATTCTCTTATACTACTATCTTATCTTATAACTCCTTTTCTATCACAATCTCCTCCTCAACATCCTCATCACCTTTCTTTGCATTTCCTTCTCCATCACCAAGCTCTCTTCCACACCTAGTTATAATTGCCTTGCAATGCTCCCTCGGGTTGGCTTGAGTGTTATCGGAAAAGGATGGTCCCTTTTGTTGTTCAACTAATTGCTTCGCAAGCTTCCCAACTTGGCTTTCATGTTTTTTGATAGTCGCTTCATTGGTCTTTTGGTTATCCATTGAAATCTACATGAATTGAGTGAGAGTTTGTTCTAACTTTGAACTTCCACTTTGAGGTTGTGGAGGTTGAGTGGTTTTTTTATATGTATTTTGACGGTTAGAAGTTTCGGCATCTTGTCTCCAACCTTGTTGATAACCTTGATTACCCCTTTGTTGATAACCTTGGTTATTTTCATAATTTTGTTGTATTGTTTGATTGCTTGATTATGGTTTTGATTTCCCATGTAATTCGTTTCTTCTCCAACTGAAGGATAAAATCCCATTTGATGATCTCCTTGACATAACTCATAAGAAGCTACTTGTTGTATTTGCTTGCTCAGAATTTCTTGCATCTCTTTGATTTGTTGAGGTAGTTTGGTCATTTGCTCTGTAAGTTCCTCCACTTACTGAGAAAGTAATTTATTTTGAGCTAAGAGAGCATCATTTGTTCCAATTCAATAACTCCCAGTTTCCTTTGTGAAGTCCCACAATCATGTTGAACTTGGTGATCATTTCTTGCCATCTTCTCAATGATTTCAATTGCCTCCTCCGAATTTTTTGCCATTAACAAACCACCCGCGGTAGCATCCAACAATAGTTTTGGTTGAGGTTGAAGACCATTGTGGAAAATGTGTAATTGCGTAGTCTCATTAAAACCATGACTCAAACACTTTCTAAACATTGACTTATACCTCTCCTAAGCTTCATTGAGGGACTCATTCCCAACTTGAGAAAATACAAAAATTGTGGTTTTGGCCTCCATAAACCTTGATTGCGGAAAAAAAACCTTCTAGAAGTTTCTCTTCTAAAACATTCCACTCTGTCATAGTTTGAGTGGCTTGGTCAAGATACCTGTTCTGGACTGGCCCGACAACTTGAATTGGTCCAGTCTACACCTTTCCTTTGATACGGCCCGCACGTCCATGACCCAAACCGCCCGCTATCCGTTGGGA